CATTTGGCTTTGCCTTTGAAGTCAAGCATGCCAGGGCGCTCTGAAGAAGAGACATAACATTAGCTATGGAAAGGAAAGCTGTTTGTGTCCTCCCTGGCTAGTCAATAATAACTCTTCCCTCACCTTGAAAAGATTCCAGTCCTCAGCAGCCAGAATTAATAAGCATTTGCCACCCCTCCTCCCTCAAGAGCCTTGCAATTTTATGTACAGATAATTCTTTATAGAAGTTTGTATCCATACAAGAGGCTAGAAGTGGAATTTAAAGAGCTTTCAGTTCACTTTGTGCACTAACAGCATTCACAGTTTTACCTTGTGGTATCATTTGTAGGAAAGAGATCAGTTTTAAGAGCAGCAGGCACAGGGCTACAGAAAGGTAGCTGTAGTTAAACACCAGCTAAGGGGTGCAATCTTTTCACACTAAGTCAGCAGGTTTTTAACTATATGGCAAGCCCAAAAAATAACTTTCATATAAATCCAAGTGAGTAGAGCTCAAAAAGTTCCCAATTCAGTTGAGGGGAGCTCCAAAGTATTGAGAGACCAGAGGCCCAACTTTATACGCATAGCTCTCACCTTGCACTGGGCTTTACAGCAGTAAAGCAACCTTTAGTACTAGTTGGCAGCTCTGCCTCCATTCAGGGAGACAGGGGACACATGAGCCAGCTCAAGAAACAAGCTAGGAAACACTGCTTTGCTCAGACTGGTGCTTTCCCACTTCTAGAACAGTAACCCCGATCAAAGAGCAATACTTAAATCCAAGTCAGGGCAAGAGTCTCAGACCCTATAGCCAGGCAAGTTATTGCTTTGTCTCCACCGTTGCCCTTCTGTCAGTATGACTGCAGTGCAGATTTATCTATACAAGTCTGACTACAATTATCCAGCAGTACATATGCAGCTAACACATCCAACTGATCCAACAGCTAACTAGCAAAGGGCCAGTGCTTCAAGGAGTTTGTTTTTTTTTTGCTTTACAGAGCTACATTTGCTTAAATGCTAGTCCACTGCAAAGTACTGTTGTTTGGATCATTCATTCACCTAATACACTTGAATATGCACTATTTATAATGCTAGAGCAGTACAAAGACTTGCAGTCTTTCATCTGCTGAGAGTCACTGCTGCAGTAAGAGATTTGGGGCAGAAACCAATCTAGTTGCCAGATCTGGGCAGCACATGGTTCCCTTTTATACAAAACCTCCTTGCTTTTTGCTGTTTCAGCTTTGTTCAGCTCTCCTTACTAGCAGAGCTTGGTAAGCCTTTTCTCCATCTTGCATTAGTTTAACTATGTTATTGCAGCAAACATTGCACTGCAGTAGGGCTGGTTGTTCTGGCAATTATACTAGTATTAGCCTCATTGTTATCGAGGCAGCACTTACATGAGCAGAATTCCTTCTCTAGCAACTCTTTAGCCAACAGGTACTCAAAAGTAGAGAGAAAGTGCTGTCCCAGGTCATAGCCTTGTACAGAATGTAAGATACTCCTAATTTATTAGGTCATTCAAATTTAGTACAGCTACCTGGGTAGATTTCTTCACATCACACCTATATGTTTACAGGCATAATCTAGAGTTCATATCACTTGATACAGCTACAGATATAGTGACATGATCCTGCACTGTCCAGACTAAGCCAAAGAAGAAGGTCACACCACATGTATTGTTATTCAGTTCCAACCAATGCCAAGACAGGATTTAAGTTTTGTTTCATTCTTTTTAATCTTTAAAGATGACAGGACAGCAACATGGCTACCATGCATCAGTTTACTAGCCTGCAGCAAGTTGCCTGAAGCAGTACTTTAGGTTCTGAAAGCAAGGATAAGCAGTCATTTATTTAATGAGACCTTTACAGGATTGTTAGCTAGTCACGTTTAAACTATATGTCACTCAAATTGAACAGCCTTGAACTAAGCAGTAAGAAGCCCAAAGACCATATCAGCAGGGACTCCCATGCTGTGTGGGTGTGTACCATGCCCCCTTCCCCCTCCACCATGTGAGTCTGCCCTGGCCTCCCCCTTAGCTCCCTGCAGCTGTTTGCTGCACCATGCTGTGCAAACAGCCTAGGCTGCACCACATAACCCTAACACCTGCAGCAGAGGCAAGAAATAGAAGCTGGAGGAGAGAAAGCAGCCCAAAGCTCCTGGCTGCTGCTGGAGCCATGGAGAAGTAGCAGCAGCAGTAATGTAGAAGCCCAAGGTCTCAAATGAACCCTTCACAGGCAGCATGCAGCCCACAGGCTGTCAGCAGGACAGCAGTGACCAACTTGGTTATAAGTTCACAACAATGAACAGTGTCTGTGAAGATCAAAGCAGTGTACTGCTCCAGCATTAAGGAACAGGGGTAGGAGTGGAGGACAGGGGTGAGGAGTATGTTATAGCCCAATATAGATAAGACATAACTGAGTGAAACAGGGTATGACCATTACGTTCCAACTGCAGCTCTCAGCACAAAATGAGCGTGAAGTGTGCCATGCACAGAGCACCTAACATTGAGATCTCTACATTACCTGCAGTGCCATTGTAGCTAGAGGCATCATGTACAGCAAACCTGAAGTAAATAAACTTATTAACTGCTCCCTGATCTACTTTGATACGCCAGGTAGGCTTCAAAACAGAAGTTAACAGTTAGCTGCATTTCATTCTTTTCTGATCAGGCAAGTTTCACCTGGTCACAGAGAGCTCATCTCCCATACATACGTGTATTTATGTCTCCAACTGTGGCCTGTTTGTAGTGACTGTAAATGTCCAGCATTTCTTGATCTGTTGGTTGCGATTTCAGCTGCTTCACCTCTTCGGCAGCTCTCTCAAATTCAGCCTAGATGAGACAAGCGCATAAGACAACCAAGCAGTGTTAGTTTCCACTTTTGTCAGCAGAGGGCAGTTCAAGATCAAACCCCCCCCGCAAAAACCTAACCCCCATGTAACCAATCAGGACTCATAGTAGAGAGGATCTCTTTTATAAGACTAACAAAATTTTTGCAAAAAAATTTCTTTGACGGCAAGCTTTCAGGCACAACCCCCCTTCATCAGGCACTGGAGAAGAGATTGTAAAAGTTCTCCGGGGTAGAAATGAAGGTTCATATTTCAGAGGATTTAAAGGTAATTTGCATTATTACTGAACTACGCAAGAGGCAAGACTCCAGACCAGCTATGAACTGACTGCCCAGAGGATTTCCCCATCTGTTGACTCCTTTGTGAAATCCTATGAAACACAAACTTTCATTTCTTCCCAAGAGAACTTTTACAACCTTTTCTCCAATGCCCGATGAAGGGTGTTTGTGCCCAAAAGCTTGCCATTCAAGAATTAAAAAAAATTTTTTTGGGGGCCAAAATCTTGCTGGTCTAATAAAAGATATCACCTCTACCATGAGTCCCAACTACTTTTTCCTCTAGACCAATACGGCTACCACCCCAGGTAACCAGGCAAACCAAGTGCAAAAATCAAATAAAAAAGAAAGAGAGGGCAGACAGATCCGGCATGACACAAGAACTGGAATCGAAAACCCCTTTCATCTTTGGTTATCAAGAGCTCACACAAAGCACAGAGATGCAATTTTGCAAGAAATCAACTGCAAGAAATCGTTGCATGACCACTAGGAGGGCTCCACGATGGCAAAACCAGCGCCACCATTTGCTGATTTCTCAATGCTTTCCCCATCTGCCCAGCGAGTAGTTCGGCTTGGACAAATTCCCCCCCCCCCC